TTGAAGACGTCACAGTCTCTAACGATGAAGAACTCGACGGCTTAGCCACAAGTTTGCCTAGCTGTTCCAAGGCCTGACTCCGGGCCTCAGGGTCGTCCGAACACAGTTGTCCCATCAGATCATTATCCTCCCACCCCTGTGTCTCCTCATCAATTGGCAACCAGGCATCCGACGGAGTGTCCACGATAATCGGACCCAAAGCTGCCAGTAAATCCTCGTCGTCAAACTTACACGCATCAACACGTACCACACACAATCGACAGCATCGATTCTTCCGGATTTCACCGATGCGAGCTTCCACTTCGTACAGTTCCGAGCAATCTCCACACACCATGTGACCACAGAGTTGACAATAGAAATCGCGACGGAAGAAGTGGAACGTCTTGTTGCAGATCAAACATCGCTTCTCCATCAGCGGGTCTGCGTATTCCTTGGGAAAGTAGATGAAAGACTGGAAACCAAATCGTCGACGGCGAATCACTCGCTCGAATTGGGACAACGATTCGGTTAGTATCCGCATGATATGACGTGCCTCCGGGTTCATTAACGTGACACGACGTCGCGCCAAGTCTTCAGGCTGGGCCTCGGGGTTGTCCGTTAAATCCTTGGTAAAACTTCGAGTGGATTTATCCGAAGCATACGCGTGTGTAAATATCTGAGTACACTGTCGATTGCTTCCTCCACTACTTGAAATAAACTGCAAGTCGAAGCCAACTCCAATGTGGTCGATCTCGCGGCGTAAAGGCGAGCTATCAGCAACCGGTAGGATCTGATCGTAAACCTCTTTCGGTACTGTTTTCATTAGATGCACCGCGCGTTTCTTGTCGGAGTATTGGTGCGTGTAGGTCGAAAAAACGAGCTGGTGAGTTCGGCTGTGGCGAGACCGAAGACGCGTCTTTAAGCTCACATCGGGACGCATTGTAGATGACGTGACGGAGATCACTCCAGTCTTTTCTTCATGTTGGCGACCAGAGTCGATAGCTATACGTTGGTGGAACAGTACTTCACCTTTCTTAAACTGCTTTCCGCATAGAGATTTCATTGTGGAGTCGTAGCCATCTGAGTCTTGATGCAACAGCACGCTTAGAGCTTCGTTCAAATGGCAACGAAGCTCCGTTTTGGCTGCCATGGCATGTAAAATGTCGTTATCATTGTCTGACTTGACTGATGAGTAATACGGCTTCAATTCAGCTAGATACACCCCTCCCTTTCCTGTGCTGTGCTTCCATCGATCACCTTTCGCGTTGTGGCGTACAGCTGCTTGGAGCTTCGGTACCGTAGCGAAAATGTCTTCGCAGATTTCCTTGTCGGAGAATACCAACTTCTGTAGAGAGTCGCGGACACTGCGTACTACCAGGCCGTTGACGTCTTCGTCCGAATTGGCAGATCTGCTGGTGTACTTATCTTCTGAATGTGGGTTCGACATGTTTGACTGGACGGCGGTCGGACCGTTCCACGAATGTAAAGTGCGTCGACAGTTCATGGCTCCACTGCAGCAGGTAATAAGGTGTAGTAGTTGCCTTTGTCCGTCGAATTAGCAAGTGAGATTCCGGCAAGTTGGTTTAATCGTAGCGGGGCAGAGAGAGGGCCAAGCACACAGGTGCGATTGTGATGGCCCAGCTGTACTCCACGTCAACATGGAAATCGGGAGAGTTTGACTTAGGAATGTTGAGAGAGTGCATTGCTCCGTCAACGCTCTACGCGTACCTTGACCGGAAAAAAGAATTGGGATGTGAAGCGACACAAAGGCTCTCATAAGACACAATACATAATGTGAAAGGTGTTGTTGGTTACCTACTGTTGTAGCTACTTGCTGTCCACGATCCATTACGGGGATTTTAATACAGCAGCTGTGGGTTTATTCGCGATGAGCACATGTAAGAGAGCTCCTTGTAACTGTGGTTCACGAGCGATTTGCTCCATCACTACATTGCCATCTGAAGGGTGAAACGGCCACCTGCTTGCCCGTGATGTTCTCATTGAATGCAAACTGCTTCCAGTGCACACACAGGTAAGTACACTACCGGTCAAAATAAACCGGCCACCCACGTTTTGGTCGATAACTCGGCCAATTTTTAGCGTTAGAAAGTGAGCTTTTGATATGTTATTTGTGTTGTATGGTGACAAAGACTACTCGTGCTAACACTCTAGTTTTTGCGGTTTGCAGCGTAGTTCGCATACAACTTTCGTTTTAGCACTACGGTCCTAACTTTCGGCCACCAGCATCCCATACAAATCACTATACAAAACGAAATGGGTACAAACTACGTGTATTAGTAGTGTGTTTTGTCGCCCTTCCTTTCGATCACTTCGATGCACCTGCGCGGCATCGACCGTACCAAAGTCATCAGCGTCGACAGCTCGATGGACTTCCACGCTTGCAGAATAGCCTCCGTTAGTTCAGCCACAGTAGAGTATTGCTTACCATTTGGGTACACCTTGCGCGCCAGAAGCGCCCACAGATTCTCGATGGGGTTGAGATCTGGTGAGCGAGCTGGCCAAGTCGTCAAGTTGACGCTCTGCTCCTCGAAAAACTGCGTCGTCTCTCGTGACGTGTGTATCGAGGCGTTATCTTGTTGGTAGACATAATCCACACCGTAGTGTAGGTGAGCAAAGGGCAGCAAGTACTCAGACACAGTGTGTATATAGTGCGCAGAGGCTAAGCACTGCCAGCTTCGTCTTGCCCTTCGCGCTGAAGCCGCCCCACACCATCACGGATCCGCAAAAACTAGAGTGTTAGCACAAGTAGTCTTTGTCACCATACAACACAAATAACATATCAAAAGCTCACTTTCTAACGCTAAAAATTGGCCGAGTTATCGACCAAAACGTGGGTGGCCAGTTTATTTTGACCGGTAGT